AATTCCATTTCTTCGATACTGCTATCTCTTTAAAAAAATAATTTCTACATAAGGGAAAAATATCGCTGAATGCTGATTGATTGATTGATTTAGTAGGTGTTTTAAGGCACTATCGACTCACCTTTGGTTATGTAAGTGCCAACAACTTTCACTGCAACAAATCAATCATCGTGTTATGTTTTAGTAAGAGCCTATGACAGATCGATTTACCTACCTATGCAGCATAATCAAAAATGACGGCGGCACAAAGGAAGACATCATGAACAGATTCGGCAAGGCAAGATCTGTACACAGAAGCATGATCAACCTCTGGAAGTCGGGGCAGTTTAGTATACAAACCAAGTTAAAGCTGTATAACAGCTGTGTACTATCCACACTCCTATATGGAGCTGAATGCTGGAGGATGACTGATCATGGCCGTGCCAAGCTATCTTCCTTTCATACAACCAGTTTACGCCAAATCCTCAGAATCTTCTGGCCCGATAGGATTTCCAATGCAAATCTGTTACGAAAATGTAGGCAAGAGGAAATGGCCACCATAATAAAAAGGTAAAGATGGTGATGGATTGGTCATGTTCTGAGAAGAGAACCAGACTCTATTGTGAAGACTGCCCTCAACTGGACACCCGAAGGACGTCGCAAAAGGGGTAGACCTAAAATGACCCGGAGACGCACAGTAGTCTGAAATGAAGTCCTGGAATCATTCGTGGAGGACACTGACCAGGATGGCCCAAAACAGACAGAGCTGGAGATCCTTTGTTACTGCCCTAAACGCCAGATGACGTAACGGGTAGTAAGTAAGTAAGTTCTTCTTTCCATATTATGAACATTCCCTTCTATTTGATCAATACGCCTGGTGATATAACTCATCCCTACCTCACTCCTTTTTACTCTGCTTATATTCGCTGTATTCTCCTTAAATTCTTGCGAAGTTTTGGTCCCAGTATTCTTAATTCATTTCCGTCAATGTTCAGCTTTTCTAAAATTTAAATAGTTAATCATGTCTAAGGTTATTGAAAGCCTTTGGATACTCTATGAAGGACAAATACAGGTCTTTATGGGCCTCATTCAATAATCTTTCCATTTACATTGTTAGGGCGTAAATAGCATTTCTGGTGCTCTTGTGAAGAGCAAAGCTCTCTCTGGTGTGATAATTTTTCTGGTTCTTCCCATTACTCGCAGCAAAATTTGTATTAAATAACTCGTAAGGCTTATTGTTCTATGCATATCACACTCAATGATACCTGGTTCCCATTAATACTGGCTTAATATCTTTGATCTGATGGTGATATTTCTGTCGTTCCAGATGCTTTTCAACTTGGTCATTGCTGCTGAAGTTTGCGCTATTCTGGAAATTATTTCTGGTTTTGATTCTTCGTCTGTCAATATTGCACCCAGGTATTTTGAGCTGCGAACGGTCTCAAGCCTCTAGGATCTGAATATCTCCTCCATATGTGCGTTTTTTCCCTTTGTGCATACTAGATCGATTTTTGTGTTTATTTAAACTATTTT